GCCATCTCCTCACTGTATCTGAAATGGAAACCTCAAAATTATTATCACAGAGACATTTGTGAGTTGGATGTTGTCGTTTTGTCCCAAATGAAACTGAAATGATATACAGGAGACTTCAGAAATGTATGAATTTCCTGTGGTCTGTTCTGTTTTGCCATTGAGTGGGCATGTTTTTAACACAAGTTGAAGTATCATTCTAACCAGTCTAATGACATTCTCATTACATTATGACTTTGTGCAATTGGACATGAAGGAGAGGAAGATAGTTTTAAAGGGGTGTGTGGAGGGGGGGGTTTCATAATATTTTACCTTCGTGTAGTCTTTGGACAGAAAAAGCACATAGTAGTAAAGAAAACTACAGGAATGTGAATTAAAGAAAAAGGATTTCTTTAGGTATTCCACTGAAGATTATAAATATTCTCTGCTTTAAGCTCAGGCTTGATAGCCTATTCAGAACCAGGAAAATATTAAATTTCTGTGTTCACGGAAGGTTTCAGCCTAATACTGGGAATTTCAGTTTTCTCAGGATTTTTATCCTCTTTTAGCACCAGTGCACTTCCTCTGGCAAGTTTTATGGTGGAGGTGAAGACCACATCAGATTATTTTAAAAAGCTTCATCTAATTTGTAAGCACCTATCAACTACAAAGTATTTTGGTTACAATTTGAAATGTAAATAATCCCATGCTTTACATTTATGTTAGTCATAAAGGGCTACTGGTCTGCTAGTTTCAAGTTTTAACTTACCTGGGCAGAAAATGAGTCCATACATATTGTATAATAAGAAGATTGTAAAAATTATGATTTTCATGAGGCAGTTTAAAAATGATACTGTGCTTGAGGTTTTTGAAAGGGTGAGAACTAAAGCAAAGGATATATCCAGCCTGTCCTTATCAGTCTAAAATAAACTATATAAATAAAATTCAGCTGTCAAAGGTAAATTGTGCACTTTTTTTACTGTAATTTTTATTACTTAAAATACAAGCATTGCTTACTTTTTCTTCCATTTTTAGAAACAAAACTTTGGGCAAACTGAAAAAAAACCCCACAGGTTTAAGCAAAATCTCACAGTGGGAGTTTTGTGGGTTTGTTTTTTCGTGTATGAAGTCTTAAAATCTTTTATCAAACAGGCATCAATAGACACTGAAGGAGGTCTGTATTCTGTTAAAGCTTTCAAAAGCCTTTGAAGAAAGTTATTTTGGGAGAATTTGCAATTTGTGCCCTCTGACAGATGACTCCTTTAACCCCGCCCCGCTCTTTTGCTGGAGGAAGCAATTCACTTGTAAATTTGCCTGTCTCCACATATCCCTCTTCAAATCACTCATCATAGTAACTTAACAGTTTTACAAATGCATAATTTTTTTTTTGTCTTTTAAAACCTAAAAAATAGCAAGGTAGGCTGTCTGGGAAACCTGCCATGGTGTTTTTATTCCTGGTGATGGGAAGGGAGGGTGCCTTGCAGTCAGTTGTTGCTTATTGCGAGGCTGTCATTTGCTGTAACTGGACAGCAAGTACTGTGAAGGGGATTTTGTGGGGAAGGGAAGTATATATATTAGAAGAATTAGCCCAAAGAAAGGTCTTTTGTCTGGCAGCCTCTCTGGGTCTTACATGACCTGTAGCTATGCACTGCCTATGTTGGGGAGGAGGATGTGCTAGCAGCACAGATGGGAGCATAAACAGGGAGTAGGTGGGGGACTGCAAGAAAAAATAGCACTGGAGAGGAGAATAAAGTGCAACACAAAATGGGAGGAAAGTGGTTTGGACACTTGGTGTGCCTGGAGAGTCAAGAAGAGAGTTAACAGGATTAGGCCAGGAGGGCCAGTGCCTGTTTGGCTTTCTGTAGGGAGAGACTGGATACTCTGTGATGCTAATGATAATTTTTTGGGAATTGCAAGGATCCCCAGTTATAATGATGGCTATTGCAGGTGTGTCAGTAAATTGTCATATGGTTTTAACCTTCATAGAGAAGATAAAGGTAGATCCATTTAGAAGTTTCTGTAATAACTGAATTCAGAATCTCCTTAATGCAACTAAGTATTTATTAGAAGAAAAAAAGATTTCAAAACCAGAGTTGCAATACTGGGCATTTTCTAAAGTTTGAAATTCCAGAATTTAGATACCCTCTGCAGGTGTCATGTGCACAAGATGCAATGCTTGAATCCAGATTTACAGTGCTGTCTGGGGAAGAAAACACTGACCTCTGGGGTTTTGATGTTGCATTTTATTACATATCAAGAAGTTAATTTGGTGCTGATAAGGGTTGCTGAATTGACATCTGTGAAAGATGAAATTTTATGATCACAAATACCTCTTTGTGCTTGTTTTGCCTCTGTATCTTGGAGGATGGGAAAGATAGTAATTGTCTTTCCACTGTTGGTTTCTCAGCTTCTCTCATTGCAGGGCTGGTATTTTGCATTTTTCTAGAAGGTGGACTCTGTTTCTTGGCCCATTGACACAGGTGTTGTGAGGGCCAAATATTTTTCATTCTCTGTAGCAGTCAAGATATGCCATTGTAACTTCCTGCTTTCTTAATTTGTGCAAATGTTCACTATTAGCACTTAAGCAGTGTGAACAGTTTTGATTTTTCTGTCCTTTGAGAGAGCAGAAACTTGTCTCTTCCCATTTCTCTGCCAGTGCACTAATATTTGTGTCAGTGGGAATGTTCACAGCTCTGAACTTCCAGCTGTGCTCTGAGAAACTAACAGGAGCTCTGTTGATTGTTTCTCCTTCTATAGTTTAGTCACCATAAATGCAAGCATTATGGAAAACTCATGCAAGTAGTGTACATACTATTTTGCTTCAGTTCATCATTATACATTGATTTAAAAACATCATCATCAGAGGATCTAAATTAAAATTACTGGTTTAAATTGACCTCAGAAAATTTTCAGCAGTTTTACAGAAAACTGAGAAGTAGACCTGTGGTCACTTTAATTAGATTTTAATTATGTAACGAAGTATTCCAGGTTTCTTTCTGCTGTACTTCTTAAATGTTCTTGTTTTTAAGTAAATTGTGTCTCATTTTTAAGAGTAAAACCTAAAACATTAGGAGATCTAATGTTTCAGAAATGCAAACCACTCAAATCTAATCAAAGCTAGTGAACACTGATGGAACTGAGCTAATCTGGAAATTAGGCCATTGTCTGGGCCTTTTTTTTTTTTTTTTCCCCCTTATACCCCTTGTGTTACATAAAGACAGGATCATATTAGATTATGGATGACTTCCCAGTGGATGTCAGTGAAGGAGTTATCCTGGATAATTTTCAGCATGGGGGTGGGGGGAGAAGAGTAATTAAATTGAAGGATAAATTAAAGGACAAGGTTCTGAGTGCATTTTCATCTCTATTTAAACTAGTAGGAATGAGAACAAAGTGGATCTTGTACAATTGGACATGTAATGTTCACTGTAGTCTGTCTCACTTCCTTTTTTAACATGCAAAATTTTACCTTAGATTGACAAATAATGTCCCACCAAACAATGATGTGAAGAAGGGCCTGTCTTGCAAACCTGTACAGTGGGAATGAAATGACAGATTTCTGCTTTGTGTGGCCAGAGCAATTCTCCAGCCAACACAGCAAAGTAGGCACTAACTTACCCAGCCAGACCTTTTGTCTTCTTCAGAAGGTGATGTAATTTTTGTTTCAGATTTTGTTACAATTTTGCGTTTTCTGAAGTAGGTGAGCTAGTCTAGGAGTGTAACTGTGGCTGTAGGGAGACTCAGGATTTGCCTTTATGAGGGCATAGGTTTGCTAGTCCTATTTTAAAGTCCAGAAGATCTACAGGAAGTCTTCTCTGGAGACATCTCTACTATATGGTATTGTACATAAATGATTCCTTATAATTGGGACTGGTATCAAATAATGGTGTTTTGGCTGTCTTTGTTAAAAAAATCAAGAGTCAACAGGGAATTGATTATTATGTCAAGTCTTCTCAGTAACAAAAGGTGGCATTAAAAAAAATTAGCAGTGTGTAGAAATAATGGCTCAAAGATCTTTCTTAAAACTGCTGTTTTTCCTCTTACACTTCTATTAAAATAAAATTGCTAAACTACCTTGAACTTAATCATTGAGCTACTGTTCACTCTCTGAATACTTACCTGTAAAGCTGTTTGTCTCAGACTATGTTTGTGTGATACCTTGCAACTCTGTGGGCATTTTTTAGTGTGTTGGAGAGGAAAACATTAAAATAAACAGGAACGGTGCAAGATAGACAAACAAGCTTAGTAAGCTTAACTGAAAGTATAATGCCTTAAAAAACAAAATTACTTACATGATCCATTATGAACAGCTGGATCTCATCTAAAGTGCTTACCAAAACTAAAAAAACCTAAACAATTAAGTCACAGGTTCAGCTTGAGCAAGTTGTAGTTTTATGTGGGTTTTTTCTTAGTAGACAAAAGATTTGTAGGAATAAAAGATATTTTGTATTTTGATATTATTTCATAAGCTTCTAATGTATTTGTCTGTCTTCTACTCACCCATGTTACTTTTGTGTTTGTAGTGGCTTGATGGCTGCACTTCCCAGAGGTTCCTAGCCTTTGCCTGCTTAAAGCTGGGGCCTCTTCCCTCCTCAAGAGGCCATCAGCATCACCCTTGTCCTTAGAGACATTCTTGCTGAAGCCTTCCCTTAGTTTTTTAATTCTGTCCTCCTCAGGTGCTGCCCCTTTCCCCTTGAAACCTACTAAGGATCTTGTAACCCTCCCTTGCCCTCATGCTGACTAACCTCTAAGCATTATGGTTATCTTTGGATTGTGGCTGTCTCTGAGTAGTATCACACTAGTGTCTCGGGCTATGGCACAGTGTAAATCTATCACCATCTGTGCCCTGCTGCAGAGCACAATGTGCTTTTCTCACACCCCCATGTCCCCCAGGTGTGCAGCCCTCATAATGTATCCACATTCAGCAATCTAGTCATTGATGAATACACTCGCTTCTCCTGGTAAATACTTAAATGAACCTTGACCTTGGAGTGGTTGTAGGAATACAGGAGCAGTGGGGACTTGATGGTGATGGTGTAGAAAGCAGGGAATGGTTTTGTTGATTGCTGAGAACAGAACCCTTTCTGGACATGATAGTAATGGGTGGCTGAGAGACAGAGTGACTTTCCTACCTACCAGTGTTAGTATTGAGGCATTTTCTCCCTTTATTTTTGTATGCAGTGCATTAGCTCTTTGTTTTTGTAGCTGTATTTCTTTCTAGCCCTGCACACCTTGAGTGCATTAGTAGCATGAAAAGACTGCTAAAAATGACACTTCTGTTCATAAGATCCCAAGGATGGAAGTTGTGACAGGTTTGTGTAACTGATGATGAAGATTAAGGCTGCACTTCTCATGTCTTTTTCTCTCTGAACTTAGTCATAATGTTTTTTGTTATCTTTGTTTATTATTTATCAGAGAGGTGGGATTTTCTTCAGCTTGCTATTAAAAGTAAGAAAATATGTAAACTAGAGTTGAATTCTGTTCATTAAACATAAATGACAGTTCAAAATATTTATATTTTGCATTCTAGATTGAAAATATTGCTTTCAGTTATTCCTATTTAACATATAATGTGTGGCTTGTTTTTAAGAATTATATTTTCACCAGTTAATATACTCTTTATCCAAATTAAGCCATGCAGATAGCTGTAGAAATATTGCAAGATCAGTGCATACAATGTGCTATTTTGGGGAGTACTTGGTTTGCTTTCTCTTCTGCTTCTTGCTCCCCTCCTCTCTCTACAGTGTCATTTACTTCTGGAACAAAAGAGAAGAATGCACTCAGTTGCACTGCTCTGCAGCCTGTGGAGAGTGTGGGCAGTCTCTGAATGCAGCATCCTGGAAAATGTGCGTTCCCCTGAAGAAGTGATCTGCTGAAAAGCACGTACTTGTACGGTTGTTCCAGCCTGCCTTGTTGCACTGCTCTCAGGGTCTGAAATGCCTGGTCTCTGATACTCCCTGGGATTTGCATTTCTTCTGCCAAAGAAACGCTACCTGCCAGAATTACCCAAGGAGCCCTGAAGAGCAAGGACACTGAACATGGCTCTGTGTGCTTTTTATGCACTTTGGGGTTTATTACTGGAACTGGCAGTAGCATTTGGGCCAGTGCCGAGGATCACTTGGGAACACAGAGGTAAGAAGAGAAACTCAAGTAGTGCAATATGGGACATTGCCACAACTGTAGGGTCTCTGTGGCATCTGAAACTCACTGAGGCTGTATATTCTTCCAGCCTGCTTGCTGTGAGTTTGGTCAGGTGTTGCTGGCTTTGCTCAGCTTTACCAAGTGCTTAGGACAAGAATATTTGAAAGTGACTCAGGTACTGGGTTAACTGATTTCAGATCTTCAAGTTCTGAAAACATAGATTTTTAAAGGAGGAATTACAAATTTGGCTTTCTCAGCTGAAGGATCTTGCAGCTGAAACTTTCTTCAAGAGAAAAACCCAGCAGACATACTTTGTTTTAATCAAATTATTTTTACTTTGAGTCTGAACATATTAGCAAAACGCACCTCTCCAGCTAATAATCTTTGTAAATGCTTTTTCAGACTGAGATGCATTTTGACACTAAGCTGTCCTGTACGCTAAATAAATTACCAGATGAAGGAAAGATAAGCGTTTGGTCCTCTTCTGACAGCATTATATGGTGCCTAGAGTTGAAAGTCTTTCATAGAACACCACTTTCCCTGTATTTGAAGTTGAAGGAAATATTTATAACCTCCCAATACAATTAGTAGGAGTTAGCAAATGTGGTGTGAAGTAGTAGGGATCAGAGAATTCTTTAGCTTTTGGTTTAATAATATAGCCTAGGTATGAAGAGAACTCTAGAGCAAGGACTATAGACCAGTTATTTGCTGCTGTTTGTAAATATATTCCACCACCCCAGTCTCCATGTGGCATGGATGCTTTAGGTTTTACAAGGTGTTTTGTGTTTGGATTATCTTTTACTAGTAGTTAGTTAGCAACGATTACTTACCCAAGTGTGCTATAACTGAACAAAACCAAGCAAGTATATAGGCAGTACGAAGAAGTAGCATTAAAGAAAGATGTTTAAATACTGAGCAGTCATAGTGTAGGTTCAGGTAGACAGAGATTAAGAATGTAGTAACAATAAGCATATCTGAGATGGCTGTGGAAAGTGTTTTTCTTGTTTATTCGTATAGCAGTTAGCTACTGATGTATCTTTTCAGAAAGAATGGTCTAGACAAGGCTTGTAGTTCCTGCTTAGACTTCTTGTTGCTCCTATCTTGTATAATAGCTAAAATTTGGCAAGTTATTGTTTAATGGTGTTATGGTTAATGCACTGCAAACCCACATCCAAATTAGTCAAAATAAATGGAATTTATTTTAATTCCTGCTATTTCTTCCTGTCTCTGTCTACTGAAGATTTTTGCCTTTACATATAGGAAACCTACTTTGAATAGGAGGGGGGAATTTAGTTCAGTGGAGGAATGAACATGTGGAGTGGTATGAACCAGTTCATCTGTTTGGGGAGAATTTTCTGGCCAAGCGAAAGATTTTAAGGTTACATGCTTGAGAATCTAGTTTAAAATTAATGTTTCTGGAGCATTATAATTGAAAAAGTGCTAATATCTGATGTTAAAATTAGAAGCCATAATACATTGTTTTCTGCCTATATCTTAAAAAGCCACACTTAATAATTAATCTTCTGGTAGTTTCTTGCACAAAACAGTCTCCCAAGCTTTCAGTCATTTTTCCATTATGGTTGTACATACAGGAGAAATCTTACTGTATATTAGTCATTGTGTGTCATCTTTCTCCAAGCTGTTCTGTTCCAGTCTGCATGCTTCCTCATTCCACTGCCTTTTCCCCTGGGTATCCCTCTTCTCATCTTCTTCCTTTTCATGTTGATTTTCCCTTATTTTATTTCTTTCAATTGTGTGCATTTCATCTCTGGTCTCCGCTTCAAAATCTGCTTGTTGACCCTCTGACCCTCCTTCTTAGCTTCTGTGTCTTTCTGCTATGGTAATATGCTGGAATGTCATCTTTTAAGGTGCAGGAATTTTTGAGAGATTGTTGGGGGCAGTTACAAGGAATATGGGCACTGACCTGATTTTCCACATTAGGTGGGTATGTGGAAGGGAAAAGGTGAGGAAGGTCCTCATAATGGATGTGTGAAATGAAAAGTTAGAAAAAAGGGAATTAACAGGTATTAAAAAAATGAAGATGTTACAGGGATCACTACAAGAGGAAATATTTAGGCATTTGAAATGGTATGAACGAGAAAGCAGGGACCAGTGGTTTTGATGTTGATGATGGGAGCTGCTGTTTTTGTTGAACCAAGCTTCTGAGGAGTCTGTTACATGGGTTGTCCGAGCCAACCTTTGTTGTTTTCAAGATAATCCAACATCTGTTAGACAAATCAGAAAAATGACCCATTAACTTGACCCGAAGTGATAGTGATCATGTTTCTTCATGTGGTGCTATTTTTCTTTCATTTCAACAGAGGTCCAGCTAATACATTTTCATGAATCAGAAGTGTCAAACTATTCAACCCTGCTGTTAAGTGAAGACAAAGATGTTCTATATGTAGGAGCCAGAGAGGTGATCTTTGCATTAAAAGCGGTGAATATTGCTGAAAAGCAGCACGAGGTATGCATTTTTTAATACATTATCCTCCATGTAAAAATCATACTCCAAATTTGACTTAATTTCCTGCTATCAGTAATGCTGCATTTTAGGTGGTAGGTACATAAAGGAGAAAATACTGTGTGGGCTACTCCTCTGTTATTTTTGGAAGACTCTGTAGAGTAAAACATGCCATTAGATGAGAGGAGGAAATAAGTTGGATATAAATAATTAATTAGAGGTCACCATAGGTGTATTCTTGGGGACAGGATGCTGGACTGGAGTGACTTTGGGGATCATCTGTAATGGTGGTTCTTATGCATGTTTTTATTATCAGGAGCTAGAGGTCTCCTATTAATGTGAATCAGAAGGTAATCCAAAACAGAAACAAAGTTGGAGCTTGTGAGGAGTGGCAGACTGCAGATGTGCTTTAAATGAAATGAAGGCCCTGTCCTTTTGGATACAGCTTGCTTTGTGTGTCTAGGTGTGTCTGCTCAGCAAATGGTAGTGCAGACAAGTCTAATCCAACCTGCTCAGAGAAGTACTCTGGATGTGCTGACATTTAGCTTCTCAGAGTAGATCAGCCTGTGCAGAAGTCTACCAACATTGTATTGCTACCAGTCCTTCCCAAGCTCCTGCTTTGCATCCCACAAGCAGCACAGGCTGACACTCAGAGGTGCAACATGGAGTCCCACCCAGGATGTTTTGGGAGATGCTCATGTGATTTTTAACCAGAACAAAGCCTTTACGGGTGGTGATGGGCAGTTTCACCAGCATATAAAACTTGTTCTATGATTGCAAGTGACAAAGTTGAACTTCTCCCTATAGTGTAAATTGGTACAGTAGTTTTATGTGATTATACCCCACCCCCCAAGTGTTTTTCATTCAACTGTGAATGAAATTGAGAAGTACTTCAAATTGAGAAGTACTTACAACAGTTAAGAGTTTCATTTCCCTGATGGTAATACAAAATTCATTAGCAATGTGAGGGGAAACATCATGATGAACCCAAAAGATAATAGCAGTGGGGCAATTAGCCCCACTAAAGGCAAATGCATTTTAAAGTGTCCCTCCTCAGGAACGAATGGCTTTGTAGCTTTGAAAGCTGCTTGCAAAACTAGCTGCAGATAGTTTTAGGATTGCCTTTTTTTGGTGTATTGCAAGATTTTCAGACTTTGCATTGAATTAAAGTGCTTTGTGCCTTTTTGTTGCTTGTTTTTTCACTTAGTTACACTGGAAAGTCACAGAAGATAAAAGGACTAAATGCGCAGTCAAGGGCAAATCAGAACAGGTATGTTTTATAGAACTTTGAGAACGATGCTAGACATTTTACTTTAAGAGGAAAGATTAAAAGAAGGAAGGCTCCAACTGTTTGAAATTAAAATTTAAAAAAAAAACAACTGAATTTTTTAATTAACTTGAGCTTGAGAAACTGCCCCATGCTTAGTCGTCTTTTTTTAATTCTTAGTTCATTATTTCTTGCTAGTGGCTATTATTCGAATGTTTGAAAATCTGAACACACCCTGATGTGTACTTAATGTTACAAGCTTTTCTGTTAAAATGATAAACCAGTATGACTTTCACTGAGGTAATTGATAGCAACTGTTGTGTTTTATTATTGCAGTAATTCCTTCCCAGCACTTGATTTTACAAAATGACTGATAATTTTGTTTGCTTTGCTTTAGGGCATGAGGTATATTCATTAGTTCAGTGCTGTTCTAGCAGTGTGTTTTTCCACTAGCTACATATATCCTTATTGTGGTGCTCTCCGGTGTGCTCCTTGCAGCTACACCTTGCTGGACACCTGAGCAGCCTGATCTTCAGCCAGCTCAGCAGTGCAGGAAGCTCAGTCCCTGGGATCACTGTTTCTGGGAACCTCTTGACTGCCAGTACACAGGCTGGCTTGCTCGGTTTTCTTTTCTATGGAATTAATTGACTTACCTGAGGTGGTGGACTGTATGTGAATGTACTTTTCCCTTCGTGTAGTGCCACTTCATTCATGATACGGTGAAATTAGAGTTTGCTAGGCTATTGATGAGGCTTTTAGCGCAGGTTTGAGAGTGGAAGTCTGCAAGCCTGTGAATACAAAAAGCAGTCCTACTCTACGCTGGCAAGGATTTGACATTGGCACCTCCTTTTTGGTTCACACTATTATAAAACCCCAGGTGCTGCTTGCAGGGCTCGTAGACATCTTGCATTCATGAGGCTTCTAGAGGTGGGAGTGGGCTCTCTCTCCCTTGATTCAGTTTACTGCCTTTTCTTCAACTGATAACCATCAACCATCATACATTATCCTAAGGTGAGGTGTGATAGGTATGTAAGAGCCATTTCCTCCTTGTCTGTCTCTTGAGCATGTACTCAGTGTTCTCCAGGTTCAGTTGGGGTTATTAATAATAATATTCACATATGGCCACTATGAATATGAGATGTGAATTTGTTATATGTATGTGCATACAGTTAAGTGGAGGGTCTGTGCATCTCCACCAGTCCTCTGCATTATTGGTGTTAGTTAAAGGGATGTTAGGTCCCATAAATAGATAATTTGACAGAGCTCCAAACTTCCTTTTTTTTTTTTTAACACCAGCCCCCAGTTTAGCAAGTCACACATTGCCAGCTGTACTTTTTCCTCATTGTACTCATGATCTTTTGATAGTCACATTTATGTTGTAGCCATGATGTTTTGCATAGTGCAGTAGTTTGAGAAGGGTCACAGTATTAAGCCACTACTGCTGTTTCTTACACTAAAATGGGCAGTCCTCTCCCCCATCCATTGCCATGTTATTTAGTGCCAGCAAAGGGTATTTATGCAGCTGTTCAAGGACCTCATCTGGCAGAAAAATTGGTTTGCTTCCCCCTCCCCCCCCCCAAGTTTTCTGCTGTAGTGAATGCACCACACAGTCAGTGAAATACCTCCTTTGGCTCATAAGAAGAAAGAATTTCTTAAGTAGTTTATGGAACTGTGGTGGTACAGTGGTGGTATCTGGCTGTGTAGCAGCAAAAATTAAGGGTGGTTGTTGACACAATTTTTTACCCCTCTAAGTGAGTGTTTAGAGTTGTTTTTATTTGTTATTATTCTGAAACTTTATGGTATCCTTTATTCAAGACTTTGCTCAAACTCTTTGTTCTATTTTAGAGCCAAAGGAATTAAGAAGGTTCCTTGGATGGGGGGGGGGGGGAAATATATGTGACAAAGCTTTGTAGCTAATTTAATGGTATTAGAAGTTTCTCTCTTAAGAAAACAGCCTTGACCACCACTTACTGTTTCATCTAGGCTTATAGGGCATTGACGGAGTCTAAAACTTATTCTGTGTTTAACTAATTGTTCCCATGGATCAGATGTATCTTTGAAGCTTGTGATTTCATGGAACAAATTGAGATGCACCCTGCTGAGCGCTTGGTTGTGCTGCGATAGGTATGCTGAGGCAACTGCATATTACTGACTGTAGGAAACCAGATGCTGCAGGATTAGACCTACTGAGATTGTAGGGAGATGGTGTCCCAGTGGTGACTGTATCACCCAGCCTTACTGGTGTGGTGTGGCGTAAGTAGCGGCAGCAGATGAGCTGACAGCACAACTTTAATTGTTTCTTTATGTTGGAATGTGGAAGCTGTGGTTTATCAGACTGGTCCTTTTTTCATCCTTTATTACAGACAGAGTGTCGTAATTACGTGCGTGTCTTGCAACAGCTGAATGATACTTTTCTCTATGTGTGTGGAACTAATGCGTTTCAGCCCACATGTGATTACCTGGTAAGAATGTACATATGTTTTGACACAGTAACAACTGTAACTTAAAACCAGTTCATTTAAACAATGAGTTAATCTCCATTCCCAAAGGCTGTTGCAATTTCAGTGCTGGTCCATAATGTTTGGAGCATTTACTACACTGTCTCACAGTAACGATAGAGGATGGAAATAAACTGTACTGTTTCCCTTTCAAAGTGCTTACTGAATTATTAATTCATCTTGTTCAACTGCAGATTTACTGCTTCTTAACTTTCATAATTCTTTGTGTATTGTGTGTTAGCATAAAACCAGTTTCTAATACTGAAGTGACATTCTTTGCAACTTCCATCCATTAACCAAATCTCCCTGACATTTCTCAGATTCCTGTCTCCCCTTCTGGCTATGCTATAGCTTCATGGTGCTGAGTACTTCAGAGTGAAATCTTGGCACAAAATCAAAACTTGCTTTTCTCACTGTTGACTCTTGTATCATTCTCCTTACTGTGGCTCTTAACAGTTTTGAAATTGAGAAATCTTGTAACTGTTCTTTTTTGTCTCCCCTGACTGCCATCACATCTGGAACATTGCCAGAAGTCATTGCCCTAAGCCTCCAATGTCTTAATTACACAGTGTAACTGATCACTTCTCAGTGGCTACTGTTCTCTGTCATCTTCCTGATCCTCACTTCCTTGGTTTTTAAGGGAGTTACAAAGTAGCAGCCAAAGTACTCTGTTGCTTTTTAAAATTTAGTTGGATTATGCCCCATCTCACAAATTTAACCTAATCTTGAAAATGGCTAAATCCAATTCAGGAAGTCTCCTGGATTTCTCAAACTCCATTTTTGTGTAGGCTAATTCAATAATTGTCAGCTCTTTCCTTGTATCAATTAAATTCTCTGCTTTTCTTGTTGTCTGGCTCTTGTAGGTGCTCTTTCTTAAGATTTCTTTGGATTTAACTTTCTTTTTTGTCTTCTGTTCTTTTCTGCTCCTACCCTCACAAATCATAGGATCACATTTCCTCTCTGTTTTCTGGACTTGATAAGATTTTCTGAAAACACATAGGCCTTTTATAATCTTAAAAAAAACACCTTTGCTGGAAGTTGATGGTATAGTTCATTATTTAGTGTTCATTTTTCAGTTACCTTTGCATGAGTCAAGTGGATGAAGAAAAAGTACTAACAACTTGTTTTGTGTTTTCAATTTAATTTTTTGCAGAACTTAATTTCATTTGAACTTGGAGGTAAAAATGAAGATGGTAAAGGCAGATGTCCATTTGATCCTGCTCAAAGTTATACATCTGTTATGGTTGGTAAGTTCAGCCTTTGTGTACCTCATTATGAGGTATAAAAACGTTCAGTCTTTTCTGCTGTTATTCTCCAGTCTCTCAGTATCAAAATGGTAGATTGCATTCATATTTTTACAACTTTACTGTGTTAGACATTAAAATACTGATGTAGTCAACCTTGTTTCTTAAAAGAACTTAAAACTCTGGGTTGTTTTGGAAGCAATTTAATACTAGTTTTTAAATATTTTCATGTGTTTAACATACTTAGTCCAGGTATCCTGAATGTACTTTGACTGCCTTTGTAGTATCAAGTACTTTCGTTTCAGCAGATTTAACAAGTATTTTAGCTATCCTGAAGACATATCCGTGAGACAGAATAGGGAACTGAGATATTTTGAGAGTTTATTACTTGATGGTTAGACACCATTGAATCTTGATTGGGTGAAACCAGAGTTCACAACTGTACCCTGGTGTCACAAGATCATAAAAGGCAAGCTTAAAGTAATGTGAAACAGGAAATGAGAAAGAACACACTCCTTGCATTGATGCCTAAATCCTTAAAAGTTGAGTTTAAATAATGGTGGCATTAGAAAGAGTAAAATAATTACTTCCAAAACTTCTGTGGCATTTCTTAAGTAAATTTGCATCTTTGTGCATAAACTGTAGGTTTACATGTTAAGTGTTAAAGTACCACAAAAACAATGCTGACTTTTGCCAGTTGCTTGTGTTAAAGCAATAATAAACCCAAGCGTGGAAGGACTAGCCTTGAGAATGGTCAGCAGAAATGTAAACATAAAACATGTCTGGGGCAGTTTAGAGAAAACACTTGTTTATTTCCTCTTGTGGGAAGTTTAAGCTTTCATAGTTTCCCAAAATATTTTTGTGCCCTTTTGCATGAGAAAAATCTAAGATATATGTTTTTTTGTTAAAGATGAGGAGCTTTATTCTGGAACATCTTACAATTTCTTGGGAAGTGAACCTATCATTTCACGGCACTCTTATCAGAGCCCTCTGAGAACAGAGTATGCAATACCTTGGCTTAATGGTAAGTGGGCCTGAGACCTGGCCGAACCAAATTGTTTTCCTTCTTCAGTGTCACACTAACAGACAGAGTTTTAAGTGTCTTACTTGGTGTAAGGGGTAATTAGTACCTCAGAGAGACTTTGTTATACTGGCATACGTTGATATTTGAGTGTGTGGCCTCATGTGTGCTAGCAGGATATTTTCTTTTGAAATTTCAGGATTTTACCTTCAGGAAAATACCTTCAAGACATACAGACTTCAACTTGATATTAAAGGGCTACAGTTTATTTTGTATCTACTTGTTCATCCTTGCAGCACGGTTACAATATAGTAAGGAAGTATAGTAACTATGCAATGTAATTAGAATATAGTAAGGAAGAGAATGGTTTTGGTCTCTAATGGCTTTTCAAATTGAGCTGATTGTGGTTCGGTATCTGAATTTCAAAACTGACCCAAGTTTTGTGAATACTCAGAGGTTTGTGACTTTCTACCAAAAAGGACCAAAATAATGAAGCTAGCGTATTCTAGAAGATGCATTATGCCCCAAAAGTACAGGAGTTTTGTAACACATGTTGTAATGATACTGCCATTTTCAGTGTTTCAGCTAATAGCTGAAATAGAGGAGAGGCAGTCAAGGGAGGATACCTCTGCAGGCCATTGGAAAACCATGCTTGAGTGTGGACTGAAGAATGTTGAGGTACAGGATAACAGACTATAGTTCTCTTTTGGGTACCTTAGTGCTTTCACATAGGGTTTGTGGGGTTTTTTTTCTCTATTTTTTTACAAATGCTATTCATATTATGAACAGCAAACTGTAGGCAGATCAGTGCCTGGAGAGCAGGTAAATGCAGCATGAGGACTGGACAAAAGAGGACTCCTAGAGGGTCTTTGAGGGAATCAAATTAGTAGACTGATATATAATATAAAATTATTCTCTTTGTATCTGTAGAGCCCAGTTTTGTTTTTGCTGATGTGATAAGAGCAGATCAAAACAGCACAGATGGAGAAGATGACAAGATATACTTCTTTTTCACTGAGGTGTCGGTGGAGTATGAATTTGTTGGAAAACTGATGATTCCAAGAATAGCTAGAGTGTGCAAGGTGGGACATAGTTCAATTTACTTTTACTAATTAAACTAGAATTTTGTGTGTGTTTAAAAGAATTTATCGGGCTGTTCGGAAATTAATTGCTGATTTCAACCTGTATGTTTGAAGTGGCATATCTCAGCTCAGAATAAAATTTATTAATTTGAATAAAAACCATTAGAATCAACACATTTTTGCCAACGAGAAACAAGCATATTTATTCCAGTTGCATAAAATTCTGGACTTCTGGGGGCAATGAAGTCATCAAAGGCAGTTTTGGCCTCCCCTTGGTTTCTGAAGTGTTTCCCACACAGGGAGCTGTCGAGATGCTTGAAGTGATAGTTGATGGGCGAGAGGTCTGGTGAGTACGGTGGATGAGGCAGAGTTTCATAGCCCAGTTTGTTCAACCATTGCGGCGTCAGAAGTGCAACATGTGGCCACGCATTATCGTGGAGAAGGATTGGACCCTTTCTGTTGACCAGTGTTGGGCACAGACATTAAAGTTTCAGGTGCATTTCATTGATTTGCTGGACGTACTTCACCATGATTGTTTCACCCGGATTCAGGAAGCTGTGATGGATTAAACCAGCAGCAGACCACCAGACAGTCATCATGAACTTCTTTTGGTGCAGATTTGGGAAGTGCTGCGGAACTTCATCGCAGTCCAACTGCAGAGACGATCATCGCTGGTTATCATAGAGCATCCATTTCTTGTCGCACATCACAATACAGTTGAGAAACGGGTCATTCTGGTTGCGAAAGAGCCGACGATGCTTCAAAACGGCAGTTTCTGTCATTCTCATTCAATTCGTGCGGCACCCATTTGTTGAGCTTCTTTGACTTTCCAGTCTTCTTCAGATGCTCAGAAACAGCAGTTGACATGCTTCCCCAAGTTCTTTTGCAAGTTCTCAAACAGTTATGCATGTATCTGCTTCCACCAGAGCTTTCAATTCATCATCGTCAATAGCAGAAGGATGTCTATGACCTTCTTGATCTTCAAGGTCAAAATCACCATGTTGAAATTTTTGGAACCAAAGTCACACTGTCTGTTCGTTAACACTTCCCTGGCCATATACTTCCATTGATGTTCCAAGCAGGTTGCGCTGCATTAGGTCCAAGTTTGAACTCGTAGAAGTAGATCTGTTGAAATTGATGTTTTGACATCTGAACTTCAAACCTCCAAAATTTGTCAAAAATGCAGTTTATATTATAATTTAATTATACAGCGTGAAAGTTCATAAGATGAGCTTTTCAAAAATATGTAACAGTACGCCAGTTGAGAAGGTACTCTTCCTGAAACACATACAATGAAAATCACATTACAAAATAGAAATTAATTTCCAAACAGCCTAATATTGTGTACTTATTGCCAATTACTTGGAAATGGTCAAACAATGCATCCTAATTAATCAGCAATTTCAATCAGTTCTTCAGATCCAAGAAGGCTTAATTGTTGTTTTGGGAACAAATACTTGATTTAATTTTGCACAGTGGTGAAATGTCAGTATATCTGACAGTTCTTCCCACCCCTGGAGGAAGAAAACCAAGCACTACAAAACCCAGGAACAGAAAAAGTCTGTCCCCTGGCTTTCCTTTTTACTCTTTTTAAACAACTAAGTACAGCTCCCTGGGAAGAACTGACTTTGGAGCTGAGCACATAGGGTGTTTGTCAGTTACTTTCAGGTAGCTGTACACAAACAAAACTGAGGCTGTGTCCACAGCAGAATAGCGCTTGAGTATGGTGTAGCAGATGGGACTTCCTTGAAGCTGTTAGAGCTGCCAGAACTTCAAGGAAAATGGTCACCAGCAGCCTGAATCTGTCATAGTTGCTGTGTTTAAACCTCAATGTGTTAGTCTGATTCAAGTACACACTCAGGAGTGTTGGTTAAAAATCTTGCTGATGAACCATTTTTTTCTGGTTGAGAACACTTATTTAACAAAAACTTTTCCAGTGGAATATATCAATATCCTCAGGGGTTGTTTTTTCTAAAAGGAAATTTATCTAGACATTTTATTTTGATGAGGTTGAAATGTTTTATTTTGACTTTACTCTTTTATGTTCAAGCATGGAAGTCAAAGCATCAATAACAAGTTAGTGCCCTTGAGATTTCCATTAAACAAGCAGTGAGGTTTATTATTATGGCCCTCTGCCCACTGACAGCTTGTGCACTCTTTAAAAGGGGAGTTTCATGGCATATGAGAGCTTTATTGCTGCTGTTTGTTTGAAATAGGAATCAAAGGCAGGTTGGAAATCTGTAAGCATTTATACTTAATTGTTTTCATAAATTTTGCACATTTCCTTTAATGCTTTGCGTAACAGCCTTGGATAATGAATGGAAATATTAATAATGCTCAAATATGCTCTCCTTTTGAAGAGAAGTAACAGCTACAGCTCAAGTATCAGATATTTTGAAACGATTCTAGTCAATATCTTTACTTCTTTTAACCTTGGTACTGCAAATCCTTAATGAAGGCGGTAATTGCTTGCAGGATTAAGCTATTGCTGCATTTCTTCTAATGAAATAATTAATGTCAGGCAAGTTTAAGTGCATATTTCAACATTAGAATTTAAATCGTGGTTTAGATGTCACAGAACAAATGCAATGCTACTTATTTCTCTTAATGGACAGGATAATACTTAAATGCTTATTTTACTTGTTCTAATAAACAGGTTTTTCTAGAGGTACATTTCTCACTTCAATTTTTCAAGTGTTGCTGAAGTATCCTTTATAAAAAAGCCTCATATCTTTCTTGTGTGTTTTGAAATCATTCTGGGTTTTTTTTGTTGTTGTTAAATCAACTAATTTTCCTGTGGCTTCCTTACTTTTCTGCTTGTGATTGTGTTGACATTTAGCAGTGTTGCTATAGATTAAATGTTAGAAAATAAGTATAGCTGTGTTCTTAAGTGGAAAAATGCTGCTAATTCTCCTCACAAACACTTTTTTATTTCTCTAATTCCAAAAGAGGGACCAAGGAGGATTAAGGACATTGCAGAAGAAATGGACTTCCTTTCTCAAGGCCAGATTGATTTGTACCATCCCAGATAAGAATTTAATTTTCAATATTATCAATGATGTTTTTATTCTCAAGTCTCCAACTTTGAAGGAACCAGTGATATATGGAGTCTTTACCCCACAACTGTGAGTGTGATATAGCCTTTTCCTGGATAAATAGTTTTAATCTCAGTTGGTCACTACAAGAAGTAATAATTACTCCTATGATTTTTTTTTTTCTTTTCCTGATCTTTTAGGAATAATGTGGGGCTGTCAGCAGTATGTGCATACAATCTGTCTACTGTAGAAGAGGTTTTCTCAAAAGGAAAGTACATGCAGAGCGCTACAGTAGAACAGTCTCACACAAAGTGGGTACGATACAATGGAGAAATTCCTAATCCACGACCTGGTGCGGTAAGTTTTTCTAATCTTGGATCTGATGACTAGTCTTTTCTTAACACTCAGGAGTAATCAAAATAGAAGATATTAGGTAGCCTATTAAAACTTAATTTTAGTTTGCCCTGATGTGGATGCTTTTTGTTGTAATGACTTTGTAGAAGAATACTCAAGTGATTTATTCTGAACTTTGTATCTAGGAATCAAGGTGGAGTTTTTAAAATTATAATTGAGTTATTTGTTAGTTTTGTATTTTTGTTATTTTGCTACTAATTTTTTAATAGTGAAATAGATGTCAGTATACACTAGGCAACATCAAATACTTCTTAGTTCAGATGAACAGAAATATAGCAATTGTTGCATTGTCTCAGTAGGCTCAGCAGGTTTATCTAATGCAGTACATTGCTCTGCAAACAGAAATGTTCACAGTGGTGGGCCTCTTTCACTCTTTTCTTATGTTGTCTGCAGTCATCTTGTTGCTACTGCTGAATAATGTGACAGTTGAAAGTAGTCAAGAAGCATGACAGTCCAGAAAGAATATTTTCCTAAAATGTATTTTTGGCCCAAACAAAAATGTAGTCTGAAACTCAGGGATTAGTACAGAAGCAAAAGTACTACGAGACCTGAGGACCTTCCTCAGTAGAATGAGTGTAATGTAGAGGTGTGCTTACTGGCCAAAGTAATGCAGAGAAGAAAATGCAGGTAGCTGCTATTAATTGTCTCTATTTTGTACAAGTAAATGATTATAATTTGATTGTATCTCTTTTCTTGGTTTGTTCTGCCCACCTTGCCACCAGTGTATAAACAATGAAGCCAGAGCATCAAACTACATGAGTTCTCTGAATTTACCAGACAAAACATTGCAGTTTGTTAAAGATCATCCTCTAATGGATGACTCAGTGACTCCAATGGGAGACAGACCTCGACTAGTAAAACGAGATGTGAAGTATACCCAGATTGTAGTAGACAGAGTCAGAGCACTCAATGGCACCATATATGATGTCATGTTCATCAGTACAGGTGAGTTCTGCGAAACACTTCTTTTAATGATTCACTGATTCTTTAGGCTAAAGTGTGTTTTAAGATAAATTCTTGAGTTTTCCATATTTATGGTACTTCTACACCAGCTAGTGTTTTCATTTAAAAAGTAAGGGACCATCTGAGTAAATGGAGAATCTTACCTGCTTTGAAAAAGTATTGTAGGAAAAGAACTGCAAAACTGCAATGAGTGCAGCAAAAACACACATGAAAGAATCCCTAAGTGGTCATTCTTTGTCCTAAAAGCTCAGAGCTCCTTATGGTGCAAATGCCATTGGCAGAGAGTTGTGTGAAATCTTCAGTTGAACAGCAAGCAGATTATTGAGATAAATTATAGCAATTGTGCAATTTTTCCTGCTTTATTGTTTTAAGAATCTTTCTTAAATATGTTGCTTTGTTGTTTCAGATCGAGGAGCCCTGCACAAAGCTATCAGTTATGAAAATGGAATGCATATTATTGAAGAAACACAGCTTTTTCCAAACTTTGAGCCAGTCCAAAGTCTCTTGCTTTCATCCAAAAAAGTAAGTGCTATAAGCATCACGGCATTCATCTCAGTTTGCTCTTCCACAAAACTTTTTAGCATGACCTTGTAACCCTGTCATGCCAAAAGATGACCATTACTGTGTACAGAGCCAAAAGCTGCATCTGTAACTCCTCACACTGAAGCAGTATCACATACTGCCTGCTGCATTTCAGTGCGTTTGGTAGGTGGCAAGCTTCTGCAGGTATGTAGATATGGGGAAGGTTGCGGGGGACACAGACAGGTGTGCAGGTCTTCTCCTGGATTCCTTGTGCAGAAGCTGAAAGCTGTAACACGTTTTAAGGTACCAGTTTTCAGATTAGGAGTAATGTTAAATCCCGACCCCTTGTGGCCATAGCAAATCCGTGAGGAAAAATCATCGTGGATTTAGCAGAGGAGTGGTATATCTTTATGAGGAAACAAACCTAAGAAGAGAGAAGTCTTGTCTGGCAGAGAGACTTATAATTGTGTAACTAATTGGTTTCTTCTGTCCCAAATCTGGCAAGCTCATGCATGCTAGATGTAGCATGGGAGCAGTCACATTGGTGCGGCTGGGGGTGAGGAGCTCTGGTGAGGTTGCAGCTCCATTTGGGGGACACAACCTTTGCCACAGGCTCTAAACTCAGCAGTCATTCTGTGCTATTAATAAGTTGCTTGGTTTAATCCTGGAGTGGTTTTGTGACAGTAAGAGGATAATCGCTGTGTGTGATTTGTACACTAGTTAGGCTTCTGGCCCTGGTTACTCAGACCTACAGATCCATGAATGTTTATAAAATTATTACCCTAATCAGTGGCTTGTAGCATCAGACCCCTCAACTGTGTGTGTGTGTGTGTGTGTGTGTGTGTGTGTATATGTTGTGTGTGTATTTATATATAAATAAAGCATTTGCTGGTTTCTTTTGTTTTATCTGCAAAGAAAGCTTCAAATGCTCTGCTTTGACAGGAGGTTTCATCATTTTCCCTGTGATAGAAGATACTGATAGATAACTCTTCTAACAGATATGCTAATGCCCATTCTTCTAATTGTTGATAAATTCTGGGATCATTCTGCACTGGCTTAATTACAGTTCCCCCATTTCTGGGGAGTGGAAGAGAAGGGATTGATAGGCATTACAGCCTGATAAAAAAAAAGACACATGTTCTAGCCGTTTCAGTATGCAGTTGGTAGCCAAGGCTAGTGTAGAAGTGATGGCACTGGATCTATTCACTCTGAATTCAGGTGCCACAGTCTCAGTTCCTCAAGAAAATTCTGAAAGGAGAAAGTGTAAGACATGGCATAGGGGCTGTGTAGGGGATGTGCTGTTTTTTCAGAGTCTTTTCTCAAAGTTTACGATTGAAACAAAACACTGCTTCCTGCATGGAACTGTGGAGAGTAACAGCTTGTATCTCCTTCAAGGAAAGCTTTTCATGTTGCAAGAATAACTTTCAACATGCAAAACTGAAGCGGTGCTGTCCAGTACATTCCCATAAAAGCAGCGATCCTTTTCAGTGATGATGAGTTGGAGGTTGGGTTAGGTGCCAGAGTCACAAAAGTTGTATAGCTCTTGTATACCCAAGCAGGGATTACTTCTGCTCCCCAGTGTGAGAACACAAGTTTCTACCTTCTTGGATATCGCAGCAGCAGTCACAGACCGTGACGCTGGCAGAGCGTTCAAGAGATGAGCAGCACTTGATGCATTGGGGAAGCGTTCTGTCAGAGTGCAAAGTTTTTCCTAGGAAGTTGTACATCTCCAAAACTGCAGACTTTCTTCTGTGGGCACTGCAGCATAGTCCCATACTAACATGTTAAATTTCAGGATGAAAGACTGCATTTGAATGTGTGTTTCTGAAGTTTGATTCTCTTTCAAAGTCCATCTTCCAGCAATGCCAGCAGATTCTTTTCTGATCCAGTTTTGTCTTTTATCTTCCAGTGTCAAAGAATTTCATCTTCCTTGAAAGCTGCCTGCACACTTCATATGTGAGACTGATTTGTGCGTGGTCTTGTAGCTTCCTCTAAAGACTGCTGTTAGTCAGAATGCATTCATTCATTAGTTTAATTTGAAGACAGACTTCCTCATAATGATTGCATTAAAGAGACTAGCCTGTTTTGAGTTCTTATAGCAAAATCTCGTTATGTCCTTAGTGAAAGAGTGCCACTCAACTCCAAAACATAAATTCAGTCCTAAGATCCCATGTTAGTTGTTTTCCTGAAGCTGTTTCTGATGTCAAAACCAAAAGTCTGTGTCACAAACATGAGATTTTTGAAGAATGTTTCTCCAATAGTAATTTTTCTTAGATGTCTGTCCATCATTTTGTGATCCATATTCATCCTGAGAGAGTCAAGCAGTCCTGCTGCAGGCATGACCCCTCAATACATTTCTACATACTGAGATCCATACAACTGCAGTACAGGAAAAGCCACTCTGTGCTTGAATCTGGCTCATTTGCCATGACAACTGCGATAGAGTGCAGATAAATCCACTCGGTATTCTGCTCAGGATGAAAGCAACCCACTGCCAAGGTGGGATGTGCTGTTCAGCTTTGTATGCACAGCCTCTCAAAAGGACTAGAGAAGGTGGTTTTTGGTTACAGTGCAGGCCCTTTTCTTGAGGCTTTGCATAATAATATGTAAAGTCACAATGTACCTTTAGCCATCGATGTCCCTGAGCTTTCAAACAGATGAGTGAAATAAGGCAGCTGCCCTCCTTTTATGAGAAGGATGTTCAGGATGAGTGTGGTCTTTTCCTGCCATGCTCAGAGTGGGATTCCCAGCAATAGTGGGTCAAACGGCCATTCTGTTTATATCTGCCCTTTCCTAGGTGTCTTGCCAGGCTGTTTTCTTTGAATGCTATTCAGTGTTCCTCCTTGAGTAGCAAGTAGTCAGCTGCAGTTGGCTCTTGTAAGGCTGGTGCTGATGTGGCTGCAGAGACCTGGCTGGTAGAAGGCAGTAGGGCTGCTTTAGGTTAACAGGAGCAGGGGTAGGTCCTACATACAGCAAGCCTTGCTTGTTCAGACTTGCGTGTGCCTGCTGCAGCCTTGTTATCAGAACAGGCTTGCCTTGCCTTGTAGGATTGTTGATGGATTTGTATTTGTGGAAAAACTGAGTGATAAAGTCATGGTTAAGACATAGTTACTTCCCATTTTTATAAACTATATCTATTACAGGGTTTTGTTCGTCTTTTTGCACTTTCAGCATTGCTGAGTATTTTCAAGACAAGTTTCCTTTTCTTTCTAGAAATAAAAGCTAATCAAAATGCTTATTCCCCCCATACTCCAGTTTTTACAAACATGGCTATATATATGCAACTCTTTATTTCTAATAACTTAAATTTTCATGAACTGGATTGTTTGGCTTTGAGAAAGTGATTGGCTGTGGGGTTTTTTGTTGTGCTTTTTTTTTTTAGGGCAGAAGATACCTCTATGCTGGTTCAAATTCTGGTGTGGTTCAGTCTCCGGTGGCATTCTGTGACAAGTATACCACTTGCGTTGACTGTGTTCTGGCAAGAGATCCTTACTGTGCTTGGAAATCACTTGAAGCTTCCTGCATTGATATTTTTAAAGAAAGTGAAATTGAAAGGTAATAGTAGCCTTTGATTACCATACAGTTCCCATCAATACTGCATCAGTCTTGCCTCTTACCAATAACTGGTGTATTTTTCTTAACTGAATTATTTCAGATACAGACTTCTTCCTATCCATTATGTTATTATTTAGATAAGATGAATCTTACTTAGTATAAGAGGATGGGCAGGCTGTAGGAAACAACATTTGAAGTTGTAATACTTCCTTTTACAGGAACTGGATTCAGAACATAGGTGGAGATGCTTCTTCGTGTTCTGGTGAGTTAGTCTTTGACATGACTCTTTCACATGTCTAGGTGGAGTAGTGAAAGAATTGTGTTTAGTTTGGCTTAATTTTTGTGATTATCTGTATATTCATTGCTATTTTAATAGGTATGAGATTCTGCTTTTGAATATTTAAGCATCTGTAGAGCCTGCATGTTGTCTTAAAATGTCTGTGTTTGTATACATTTCAGTGTGCAGTGCACAAACCCCTGAAATGAACAGGGCCACCTCAACAGCGACTTGTGAATGAAAGCAATATTTACCATAAGTACTTCTTGTGCAGAGGCCTCTGTCTCTGGTACAGCATTCTACTGTGAGCCTTGATAAGTGATTGATATTGCTGCTGGAGCAGTTGAAATGATCCTGAAAAAAGCTGGTTTTGTAGTGAGAGGGGAGGGGGACTCAGAACATGATACAGAGCAGCTAAGTATCCTCTATAGTGCTTTAAGGCAAGTCCTTTCTTTATAGTGTGTGTGCTGTTCCCACCAGATCAAGGAGATCTTGAAGTGTTACAGGAGAATTGTACTGCAGTAAACAAAGCTCTTAAGAGTTTGATTGACTCCATTTTATTTCTTATCCAAGCAAAGCATGGGCCTCCATGAGAGTTTTGGTCATTAGGTTTTTTTTGTTAATTTATGGTGTTGCATTGTGGGTGTGCCATAAGTGCTAATATTTTTTTAGAAGAGAGTTTGAGTAACAGCACCTTGCTCAATTTCTTCTTGGATATTTTGTTGCTGATTTACTTAAAATGCACTAACTGAATATAAAATTATATCAAGTCATCTCAGACGAGTCATCTCAGATGCACGCTCAGTTGTGTATCAACAAGGTCTCATCTTTATCTAGAACTGGAGACTGTCTTAGAGTTTGAGGTGTCCTATCTCTTAGTCTGTCTTGATGTTTCACACTCAGCTGTAGCTTGGTAATTCTCTGAGATTCTTGCATGCTGTCATCTTGGTCTTATGAAGTAATCTGAATGCTATAATCTTTACATTTCTGTTAAAGACTATAGCAGTCTCGTGAAACTGTATGATTAGAGCAAACGGGAATCATTGCTGATACTCTGCACATTTATTTTGATGTTCCAGATAAAGTAAGAGAGAATTCCCTACAGCATACATTCAAGCATGGGAGCACAGCAGAACTCAAATGTTCTCAAAAGTCCAATCTGGCACAGGTAGTTTGGAAGTTCAAAGATGATGTGCTGAGAGTGGAGAGTCCCAAGTACCGTCTCCTGGAAAAGGCACTGCTCATCTTCAATTTATCAGAAGGAGACAGTGGTGTTTACCAGTGTTTGTCAGAAGAAAAAGTAAAGAATAAGAAGTTTTCTCAAGTGCTGGCTAAGCATGTTTTGGAACTGAAAAAGATACAGCATACCACGGTGGGCCCCACCACAGCAGCTGCACCAACAGAAGGTAATAGTGATGTGCCGAAAGTGTCAGCTGTATCAACCGAGGGGTCTGCCGCTTACATCTCAACCACTCATGTGGTACCAGTAACGACAGCAAGAATAGTAACAAAGCCCATTGGCCCTGTTTTAACAAGTGCAGCCTCCAACACAGAGCTCTTCAATTCAATTCCTGACATGGTTCCAGAAAAGACGATGTTTCTCAAGTCAAATGATAACTTCCTGTTGATGTTCCTCTTCCTCTTCTTTTTTATTCTCTTCTTGTGCCTGCTCTCCTACAACTGTTACAAAGGGTACTTGCCAGGGCAGTGCTTGAAATTTCGCTCTGTCATGCTGCTTGGTAAGAAGAAAACAAAGTCAGATTTTTCTGATTGTGAGCAAAGTGTGAAGGAGACCTTGGTGGAGCAAGGCAGTGTCAGCCACCAGAGTGGGGAGCAGCCAAAGCCGGCCCACGACACCGGCTACGAGACTGAGCCCGACTGCGGGAACGGCCAGCTGCAGCTTGGGGATTCGCAGGCACCCCGAGAGGCCAAGGACAAGCCCTTTGATGTCAAGTGTGAGCTCAAGTATGCCGACTCGGACGCAGAGGGGGACTGAAGTACCCAGTTATCCATTTCAGTGGTGGAAATCAGCTGTGGTCCTGTGGCTAGCTATTTGAGCGGAGAGTGTGGGTGTGACAGCTGAGCCATAGCAGGGTTAAACTGTACAGCAAGCCAATTTGCGTTCAGATCTTGCCAGATTAGAGAAGCGGTGTTCTTGTCTGCAGACCATAAGATCTTGTGTTGTACTGTCTTTTTTCTTCTTTTTAAATGGCCAGTTTCAGATCACCATTTGTTTGTTCCCAGTTTTTCTCCCCACTGAGCTCTGGTGAACAGTTACTTGCTTGTTCTTCAGCTCTGTTCTTCCATAGGATAAAAGTAACTTTCTAATTCAATTGTCTTTAAAAATTACTTCAGTCTACACATATTTCTAGCTGCCATTAAAAAAAGACCTAGTTGCATTTTAATTCCAAATTGGAAATTAAGTTTAGTTTATCAGATTGGTAAATTATAGACTTTTGTCCAGATTGGGACATTTTTTTTTTCCTTTGCTTCTACTGATTAGTTTTATGCTTCATGTTTTGGCACACTAGGTCTCTTTAGTTGGTCAAAGTTAATTTTTTTAACTGCTTGTTAAGTATCTTAGATTTTAAGGTATAATGGGGATAGCATTGACTTGATTTGTTTAAGACTCTCAGGGATAATCTTGTTTAAAGGCTTTTTCCTTTGCTGCTTTCTAGAAATGTAGGCAATACAACAGTATCAGTAAAAAACATGGAGTAAGTGGTGGCAGGAGGGAGGAAATAATAGATTTAGAATGCACGCGCCCCCCACCCCAAGCAAGCTGGACATAGTCACAGTCCGTTTTCTATACAAAACTGGATTTTTTTGTTTGTTTGTTTCTTTTTTTTGTTTTCTTTTTAAATGAAACAGTACAGACAAGCAGCTGTCAGTTAGCAGTTACACTGAGAGGTCTTTTGCACTGTGGAAGCAAAACAGGAATGGAGAAGAAATAACTACAGTAATTCAGCTAGTGTCTTTGCTGGAATGGACTGTTAGGATACAGCCTAATGAGAAAACATTGCCGATTTTTCTTTTTTTTCAGATTCAGAAATAACTCAGCTTCTTTTTGTGATAAATCTTTGCAGCGTCACCCTTTCTGGATGACACCTTCTAATCTCCTATGCAACTGGAGACTGAAACTGGAGCTGCTCAAAACAATCAGTCATTTAAACTGTTTGTGAATCATGCCTGCAAACGTGAAAGTGTGCATTTGTTCTCAGCCTGGTTCACAGTAGCACTGTTTGTCTGTAAAAACATTTTGTGTGGTACAGTCCTGAAGAATTGTTCCTCTCACTGCATCTTTCTGTAAATATTGCTAGAAGTAGAATACATTTAAACAGTTAATAGCAGTATACCTGGGCTGCTCTTCTATGTTCAACTTTCGTGCAAACATAATTTAGACTATCTTAGTGTAAACAGTTTATATTTTATAAGATTCAGTTTGGTTTTATTTTTCTATTTTTAATTATGTATATATAACAGAATAAATATTAAAATAAATTGTATTATCTTGACTTTTATGAAACTTGATACAATGACACTGCTTTCTATTTTGCAAGTACTAATGTTCCTTGTGGTTTCCTTTAAGGGGGAAAAGTGGTAAATTCTGTAATTAATTTGAAGCAGATTGTCTTCTCAGAGTTAGTTGAATGGGTGCGAGGGGGAGGAGTGGAATGGAAGGGTGGAAAAAGAAACAGATGAAGCAGGAAAACCCTCTTCTCTAGAGGTCTAGGGACACCTCCTCTTATTACCCTTCTAAAATTCATTTGTCTTTTTGCATTATTTCTTCAGTGTGTGATGTATTTCTTACAGCTTTTTTCCTTAGTACCCTCTTTTTTTTTCTTTTCTGTCCTCTTCTGTCACACAGCCTCATCTCCTATACCTTTCCCTCCTACTGGTACCTCCTTTTTGTCCTGTGTGGGAAGTGATTCACCTCCTTCACTCACCAGTACCCAGCCTGATGTTTGGTCTAGCACAGACCCTGTAAAGGTCATGTTGTTGCCACCTTTCCTAAGTGACCAGGCACAGCATGTTAGTGTCCGGGGACCCTTTCGCCTCTTCTGCCAAGCCACAGGTAAGTTGGAGGACCCCTGTATATAAACCAGCATTTTCTGCTTTAAAGGTTTAGCTGTGTCACCATATATATATTTTACTTTTTTGGTGTTTAAAAAAAAACAACCAAACAAACAAAACCTACAACAAAAAAGACCATTTGAGGATGTGTTCTCAACATGCTGTTACCAAAAATCTGGCACTGCGAATACTGTACTGTAAAATGCAGGCTCTGATTTAGCAGCCTACTTTAGTATATTAACAGTCAATTGATTTTAATAGGCTCACTTGCATGCTGAAGAAGTTCACTGAATCATGATTACATATGGATGTTTAACAGGTAAATATTTTCACTCTCAGTATGTATGCCATTTAAAAAATAAACTTCTGTTGGATTTGAATTTAGTCTATTTTTCTAGACCAGGCAAGTTACTTGTTTTTAGTCTTAGTTCAAAGAGTAAAGTACATACAGAAATGACAACTTGCATTTTATGAAGAATATATTATCTGGGTTGTAGAAGAGAAGGATAAAGCTTATTTTTCTGCAGAAATTCACCATTTGTCTTTCAGCTTTTTGGGATAGTAGTTACTTGTTTAAGCTAAGTGAGATTTAATGAATCTAAACAAGGTTTAAAATGTAACTATATTCCTTAAAAGAAGAAATTATAGATACAGATTAATTTTTAAAAGTAGCAGTGTTTCATGTTGGTCTGTCTCTTAGTGTGTGTTAATGTTACATGTAATCAGATCAAAATGCATAAATCTTTATTAGAGTAGGTCTTAACAAAGGCATGATTTGTATTTCCATGTTTAGAAAGAACAAAGCAGGATCAGGGTTCTGTAGAATACAATAGTTTAGGTTGGAAAAGACCTTTCAGCAATCACTTATTCACTGTTCTAGACAATTCAGAAACCTTTTGTTCACGTGAAAAGAAATTGTAATAGTATAAATAGCACAAAGGATTTAAACAGTTTGATAATCGTACTACAGATCTGGAATTTATTTTAAATTTTTTTCATCCAACAATGTCTGTTTTCATAGAATCGTAGAAAGGTTTGGTTTGGAAGGGACCTTGAAGATCATCTAGTCCCACCCCCCTGCCAGCAGGGACACCTTCCACTAGCCCAGGTTGCTCAAAGCCCCGTCCAGCCTGGCCTTGAACACTGCCAGGGAGGGGGCAGCCACAGCTTCTCTGGGCAGCCTGTGCCAGTGACTCACCACCCTCACAGGAAAGAATTTCCACCTTATGTCTCATCTAAACCTATCCTCTTTCAGTTTAAAACCATTACCCCTCACCCTATCCCTACAGTCCCTGATAAAGAGTCCCTTCCCACCTTTCCTTGTAGGCCTCCTTTAAGTACTGGAAGGCTGCTATAAGGTCTCCCGAGAGCCTTCTCTTCTTCAGGCTGAACAAGCCCAACTCTCTCAGCCTGTCCTCATAAGGGAGGTGCTCCAGCCCCCTGATCATCTATGTGGCCTCCTCTGGACCTGGTCAAACAGGTCTATGTCCTTATAGTGGTGGTCCCAGAGCTGGACACAGCACTCCAGGTGGGATCTCAGCAGAGTAGAAGGGGAGAATCACTTCTGTCAGCCTGCTAGCCACACTGCTGGATGCAGACCAGGACACAGCTGGCTTTCTGGGCTTCGAGCACACATTGCTGTCTCTGTCAGTTTTCCATTCACTACTACCTCCAAGTCCTCCTCCACAGGGCTGCTCTCAATCCACTCATCACCCAGCCTGTGTTTGTGCTTGGGATTGCAGGACCTTGCACTTGGCCTTGTTGAACTTCATGAGGCTTGCACAGTCCCACCTCTCCAGCCTGTCCAGGTCCCTCTGGATGGCACATCCCTTCCCTCCAGCATGTTGACTGCACCACACAGCTTGGTGTGATCAGCAAACTCACTGAGGGTGCACTCAACCCCACTGTTAATGTTGCTAACAAAGATGTTAAACAGCACCAGTCCCAACACCAACCCCTGAAGAACACCACTCGTCTCTGCTCTTTGTTTGGACATTGAGCTGTTGACTGCAAGTCTTTTGAGTGTGACCATGCAACCGATTCCTTAGCCACTGAGTGGTCCATCTGTCAAACCTATGTCTCCCAACTTAGAGACAAAGATACTGTGCAGGACAGTGTCAAATGCTTTGCAGAAGTCCACATAGATGACATCAGTTGTTCTTCCCTTAACCTCCAATACTGTAACCCTGTTGTAGAAAGCCCACCAAATTTGTCAAGTACAATTTGCCATATTGGCTGTCACCAATCGCCTCCTTATTTTCCACGTGCCCTAGTGTGGTTTTCAGGATGATTCACTATGTGATCTTGCTGGGCACAGAGGTGAGACTGACTGGCCTATAGTTCCCTGGGTGGGTGTTTTTTTTAATTTTTAAAAATGGTGTTATGTTTTTCCTTTTCTAGTCAGTGGAAACTTCACTGGACTGCCACGACTTCTCAAATACGATGGATAGTGGTTCAGCCACGTCTGCCAGTTTCCTGAGGACCCATGGATGCATCCCATCAGGTTCCATTGACTTGTGCACCTTCAGCTTCCTCAGATGGTCTCAAATCCGATGTTTTTCTACAGTGGGAAGTTCTTCATACTCCCAGTCCCTGCCTTTGCCTTCTGCACCTTGGGTGGTGTGGCTTGAAGCACTTTTGACTGAAGCAAGAAATTTCTTGAATACCTCAGCCTTCTCCATATCCTGGGTAACCATGTCTCCCTTTCCTTCCAGAGAGGGCCCACATTTTCCTTAGTCTTCATTTTCACTGATGTACCTATAGAAGCTTTTCTTGTTGCCCTTCACATCCCCTTGTGGCCAGATTTAATTCTACCATGGCCATTTAATCTATGTAAAATGCCCACATTTAATTCTATGAGGGCTTTGGCCTTCCTAACCTGATCCCTGGCTGCTCAGACAGCTTCTCTGTATAGCTCCTCCCAGGCTGTCTGGCCTTTCTTCCACCCTCTGTAGGCTTCCTTTTTATGTTTGAGCTTGTCCAGGAGCTCCTTGTTCATCCACACAGGCCTTCTGGCATTGATGCTTGACTTCCTCTTTGTCAGGATGCTTTGCTTCTGAGCTTGGAAGAGGTGATCCTTGAATATTAACCAGCTTTCTTGGGTCCCTCTTCCCTCCAGGTCTTTATCCGATGCTACTCTTATCAAGCAGATCCCTGAAGAGGCCAAAGTCTGCTCTCCTAAAGTCCAGGCTAGCAAGCTTGCCGTGTGCCCTCCTTAACTGCCCTAAGGATCTTGAATCCACCATTTCATGGTCACTGCAGCCAAGGCTGCCCTTGAACTTTACCCTTCCCAGCAGCCTGTCCTTGTTGGTGAAAACAAGGTACAACATAGCACCTCTCCTCATTGGCTCCTCTGTCACTTGGAGATGAAAGTTATCATCAGTGTATTGCAGGAACCTTTTGGATGTCCTGCTGTGTTATCCCTCCAACAAATACCGGGGTTGAAGCCCTCATGAGGACCAGGGCTTGTGAACGTGAAGCTGCTCCTATCTCTTTGTAGATACCCACATCGGCTCAGGTCTTCCTGCCCAAGATGCAGAAGGCAAAGGCAGGGACTGGGAGTATGAAGAACTGCCCACTGTAGAAAAACATCAGATTTGAGACCATCTGAGGAAGCTGAAGGTGCACAAGTCAATGGAACCTGATGGGATGCATCCATGGGTCCTCAGGGAACTGGCAGATGAAGTGGGCGAGCCACTTTCTGGTTGGGTGGCCTGTGGCAGACTTTCACTATAACATTTCCTGTCCCTGCCTTCCCTTTAATCCTTACCCATAAACTCTCAGTTGGCTTCTCATCCATCCCCAGGCAGAGCTCCATGCACTCTAGCTGGTCATTGACGGAGGGTAATGCCCCTCCTTGTCTCCCCTGCCTGTCCTTCTTAAAGAGCCTTTATTCTTCCATTTCAACACTCCAGTCATGAGCGCCATCCCACCACATCCCTGTGATGCCAGTAAGGTCATACCTGTGCAGGCTTGTGCATGTCTCTTAACTAATGGTTTATTCCCCATGCTATGTGGGTTTGCATAGAGAGTTAATTTAAGTTGGGCCCCCAATGAAGCTGACTGGAGTGTCTGGAATTCCTTTGTACTGTTCTTCTGCTGACCTGGACTTTTCAGACACCTTTCCTTTGACTAGGCTGATTGATGAAAAAACCACCTGCACTCCCTTACCTGTAGTCCTTGATACTCCTCATATGGCTCCTGGCTGTATCACTAGTGCTCCTGTGAAACAACAGCAGTGAAGATCAGTCAGTGGACTGTACAAGGCTTGGTAGTCTCTTGGTGACATTCCTGATAGGAGCCCCCAGTAAGCAGCACATCCCATTGGCAGATGGGTGCTTCTGTAACTCTCAGAAGAGAGTCGCCTACTACTATCACCCATCACCTTTTTTCTTCATTACCCTAGTTGTTTTACAGGGAGCAGTGATACTCAGATGCTGCTTTCTAAAAATCGTCAGTAATTGTAATTGCCTTGGCAGTGAACTTCAGGAGCAGTGTCCTAAAGTCAGCCTGTGGAATTCACTCCTGAGGAGGTAGTGACAAATAGCACAAGAAACTGTAACAGTAATCAGACACCCAAGAGATGCAGTGATGGCACAGGCAGGGGCAGGATGAGCCAGCTGGGGATATGCGTCTGACTCATCTCAGAAAGCAGTGAAGACTTTGTGTTATGGATGGGGGTTTTACTCCCTTTGGAAAACAAGGCATTTGACTATTATGTTATGCTCTTCTCTGACCCAGAATTACAACTTTATTCTGTTGATTTAAAAAAAAAAAAACACAACAAAAAAACCAACAAACAAAACCCCAAATGCAAACCAGCGTACCAAATTGAGTTAGATCTTCTGCATCTTTCTGGCACCTGCATGTTGAGGATGTATAACTTTATTCTGGGAGGGTGGGTGACTAAGCAAATGCTTTTACTAGGAAGCTCTGTACTTGGATATATTCAAAGTCCTTCAGTGCCTGCTGATACTTCTTTTTATAATGGAACTTTATTTC